TTATATCTTTATGTTTGAAGCCTGAAATGTGGCAAAAGGTTGAAAAGTTCAAGGGGGCCGAATACTTTCGCAAGGCACTGTATATAGTGCTTTTCTGTACACTCCACTCAAAAATCTTTACGGTTAATGGGGACTCCCCTCCACCACCACTAATGTGCAGCCCCTTCCTGGATTATGCGATGGTGGCCATAGTGCACACAGTATGCTCACCACACATCAATTGTGGAGGAGAACAGAGTGATGAAGCCAGTTCATCACTCATGATTGGTAAAGGCCAACGGGAAGTTTTTCCAGGATGCTGGGGTTACACCCCTGCTCTTTTCGAGAATGCCCTGGGATTTTTAATGACCACAGGAGTTAGGACCTCGATTTTATGTCTCATCTGAAGGATGGTGCCTTCTTACACTTCTTACTGGGGCATTAGGACAAGCACAGACAGCAGGGTGATGTTTGCTTCGCTCTATCATGAACCCCCTTTATGGTGCTCTGAATGAGGTGTCAGGTTTACATTGCATCCAGGAGATTCTGCGTCTACTATGAGCACATTGTTGAATGTCCAGTTTTTGCTCCTTTAGAGAGAGAGAGTTATGCTCTTCATCTGCGGCTCTAGGCTGCAGAATTTGGTAGTATTATGCACACCACAAACAAAACACAGCCCATCTGGACCCGTTAAGCTACTAAAAACAACCTCTGACTAAAATACTTTTTTGTTGAGGTCGGAAAAGAAAATGACTGCAGTGTCCTACACTGAGAGGGTGGCCGTGTCACTGAGGTGAATAAGTCAGAAGTGAAAATAAATGGATACAATGTCAGTACACTCCTCTTTGTTTTCTTAAGGTACTAAGGGTGTCCAAGGAGAAAGAGGCCCACCTGGAGAGCCTGGGATCACTGTGGAAACGTCACGCAGGGTTATGTTGTCAAACACCGAGAGTTAGTGTTCATTTACTTTCTACCTGCAAATCTAACCAGTACAACTGCTGGGTTGATGTTTCCTTCCTGGTTAAAGGATACAAATTTTACTAATTATATTCCTTTCTTTACCAATTTTGACTATTTTTGTACTTTGTTTTGTATTTTAAATTCGACCTAAATTTCAAAATCTTGCACTTTGGTTTTTCCAGAAGAGGTTTTTTACTTTTCCATGTTTTGTATTTAGAAACGTATTTGTAGTTCCAGTGACTGCAGCAAATCTGAACACCTGATATTTTGTTTAAAAGCATTTATTATACCTACAGTACCTCAACTGTATTCAGATTCCTTGTACCAAGGCATGATGTAAACCATTTGTAAATCATTACATAGGAGACCTGTCCTGATCTAATGTTTCTTTCCCCAGGGCAACAATCAAGCTCTGATACTGTTCTTCAGGGACCCCCAGGGCCACCTGGGCCTCCAGGACCCCCAGGTAACTTCATCTGTAACATGGTCTAGGTTATTACACGCTGGGCGAGGGCAAAGGCAAGTGAGGGTTAAAGCTTCATTCTTGCTGAAATAAATGCCATTCAATAAGTGACATTCAAATGATAATTTATAGCTCCGCATGTACTGTAGCAAAATCTAAACTTTCTCTTTCACCTGTACTTAAGCACAGTTCAGATTTTTCAGGTTAAAGGAAATTTCATGCAAAATAAGTAATAATTAACCATTTACAAACCTAACCAGAAATCTGCTGCGATCACATTAGCAGTAGCTGTGCCTATTTCAGCACTGAATTTCAGCTCATTGACTGGAGAAACATGAAGATATTTATAGAGCTCTCTTCTTTCTTTCAGGCGTCTCTATTCCAGGTCCTCCTGGACCCCGAGGAGAGCCAGGTAACTGGTTAGAACTCAGGGATGCACCCTGAGTAGAAGGATGTCCGTATTTAGCTCTTAATTTTAGGCAGGCTGTAGATACTAGTGTTTAAAACAGTAACTCTAAGCTACTTTAAGATGAGGCATTAAGCTTTTCTCAGATCTGGTTTAGTGCATGTGTATAGCTATCCAAACTGTACTACAATTAGGATTCTTCCATCCATGTCTCTTTCCTCAAAAATCATCTTTACGTAGAATAAAAACACCAAGTGTATTGAAAGTGTTTTTTGAGCATTGTAGACATAGTAAATCTGGTTTAACCTGCTTGGCTGAGGGCCAGTCCCCTGGACATAACTGTATTATGAGGAGACTAGGATTCCCATGTGGAGCATGGAGTGACAATGGGGAGGTTGCAAAGGTAGAGCAGGGATGCAAAAGATGAAAGCAAAGGAAAAAGGGGCTTGTAAATATACAGTATGTAGTAGTTTTTCATGGTGTGAGGAAATTACGTCAGGAATGACTATATTTTAGGACATTTTGTCTCCTGTTATTCCTCCAGAACTGTTGTTGTGAACTGTAAATATACTGTAATATTCCTTTACCCTGATGCCTCCCTAGCTGTGAGATTCAGCTGTGATGAGTCCTATATCTGCATTATATGTCCTATATTGTTTCTCTTCAGGCACTGGCAAACCTGGACCTGCTGGTCCCAAGGGAGAGCCTGGGAGCTTTGTGCCAAATTCAGGTGAGCTCTTTTTACCTGCTTTCACCATCTTCACTCTTCTTTCAGGAAAGGACATTTCAACAAATCTCATGCTCTTGTCATGTCATTTCTCGGGAGAAACATGCTGTATTATATTATCTGCAATTAGGTTATCTGCAATATTAATTAATAACTTTATTTTTACTGTAAGATTATTTTGGGTTCTGTAGATGTGGTCATTAATTCTTAATGAAGGGCTTTCTGATTCTGACTTGTACAGTGGGTTTTCATCTCTGTGGGCTCATTTCTGTTTTGTGCTGTTCAGGAACATTCTTTGCTGGGCCTCCTGGGCCTCCCGGACCTCCTGGGACCAAAGGAAATGATGGTAGGAGCAGAGAGTTCATGCTGTGTGCACTTACACTACTGCCTAAGTTAGGAGACTACAGGCACTGAAGAACATAAATGGAGGAGAGAAGATGAAAGACCTATTTTTCCATCAGTTGCACACTTGATTTCCAGAATATCTTAAAGCCTCTGAACCACACTCATCTGACCATGACAGTTTATACAGTATATATGCTTGTATGGATTTCTTATGTGATTTATGCGTTATTCTTGCAGGTGACCAAGGACCCAGGGGATACCCAGGTAAGTCACGCCCTGCTTCATAAAAGGGTGCTCTCCAGGGTGTCTTTGTAAATGAGAATTTGTTCTCAACTGGCCTAGCTGGTTAAATAAAGAATGAATTCAACCTTAGGCCTACGAACTGTGCAATCATTGTACTATGACCTCTTTTGTTACCCACTATTTACTGAGATGGCCAGTGGCTACCTTTGCTGATATCTCTTGAATAGAAAACAAATGGAAATGTCCAATAATTTGTGCTTTCAGTCATGTGCAAACTGATATGTACAGTATGTGTAAAGGTGACCCCAGGTCAGGGCATGTCAAATTGCAGATGTGACAGGAGGCTGGCAGTGTTGCTGGCTGTTTCACACTTGACTGAAGTGTAAGAGGTTCTGAGTGGTTTCAATGGTTGGAATGGAATTGTATTGCGTGACAGAATGTAATTACTGTTGTGTTAATTCCACAGGGGAACCTGGTCAGCCTGGTCTACCTGGGAGCCCTGGCAGCCCTGGGGATGCTGGGATAGGTGAGCTAATGAGATCTAGGAGTATAGAGGAGTTCTAGAATTATGGAAACCCTTTTGTTCAGTCAAATGTTTCTCATCGGAAACTGCACTCTTCAGAAGTGAGGATGACGGAAGATCAAAAAAGCAGTATGAGTAGAAGGCTGTGTGAGCAGCAGGGCTGATGGGAATATTATTAAATAGTGTAAAAGAAATGGGGCCTGAGATAGATGTGAAAGACCTACTGTTGTATAACACCCAAAGAATTGAAGTTCATGCCACTAACATTGGCTGTATTTCAGTGTTTTTAGTGCTGTCTTTTTCTTGACCACAGGACTTCCAGGACCTCAAGGCCCTCCAGGAGCCCCAGGACCAGAGGGCCCCAAAGGAGATCAAGGTATAGACACAGAGCCCCCAAATCCCCTACGTTTTCTTTTTTTTCCAGAAAAATGCTTTCACTGCTTATGATCTAGTGATTAGTGACAAATCACCTCTGGCCTGTCTGTATGTGGGGATATTAGTAAGAAAAACTAATAGGTGTTGGTATTGGCATTATTGAAATTCAGCTACCCAGTATAATACACTATATTTTCAGAAATGTAAAAGAGTTAATGTTAATAGAGGACATTTGCAAAATAATATAAAGCCAGAAGTGTTCTTGCTTTCGCTCCTTGTTTGCTTCTGCTAGATTTGTTGTGCTCCTTCTGAGTCGAGCTCTTCCTGGTCGTCTTCAGCAAACTGTTTCTGGCTCTGACAGACCCTGCCACATGCTCATTTGTCGTCAAGTCACACCACAGTAACCCTGTGTCTTGTCCTCACTACATGAGTGGTTAAAGGCCACTATGCATTAATAGCTTTTACAATCCTGTTGTGTACCCATCCCTCCTGTTGTGTATCCTTTCCCTCATTGTGTATCCTTACTCTCATTGTGTACCCCTCCAGGTGAAGCTGGAGTTCCTGGAGCTCCTGGAATTCCTGGCTCCACAGTCTCCAGAGGTACAGCACCTCCCAACACTGTTTGCCCGTATAGGGCAAATGTGTCATTTGTGAAGCACAGGATTGCAGATTGTTGACAGTTACCATTTCTTTGTGCTAATGCACTGAAGTAAACCCAAAAGGAATTGCTTCACTTGTTTTAATTGTGGTATTAAAATGACATGCTTCCATGTAAGTGATGAAACCGACAGTATGACCTAGATGAAAAAAGACACATCCAGTTTTAAATATTTAATCTGTAGTGGTTTTTAGTCTGTGTTGCCTTTCCCTTTTAGTTCCTACTTCTTTTTTTTCCTGAGATAGGAAGCCTGTAACTGTGGAGGCCTGTCTTATGAACCTCTTTGTTTTTTTTGCTTTTTTTGTACAGGTAATGGACGAGCCTATCAAGGCCCTCCTGGGCCCCCTGGGCCCCCTGGGCCTCCAGGCCCTCCAGGTTCGGGTGGAGCTGATGTTCGTGGGTACATCGCAGAATACCTTCAGAGTAAGTGGACAAAAACAGAAGAATGGCAACACAGAAAATTTTGTCAGACCCGATTGTATTTTTGAAAAGCCATTTGCCTTCACAGAGAGGTCCTGAGGGTTAGAGATGGTTTTTCAAAGGCACTTCTGACAACACATCAAAGGAGCTGATAAGAGCTGTTCTGTCGTCATGTGCCTTGTCCTCCTTTATTGTAACGCGGAATACTCCACTGACTTGTGTTTTGCGAGGAAACTCCAATGACACTGGTGCTCTGATGTCTTCTGCTGGGGTAGCGTGTGAGTGTGGTGACTCAGGTGTGGTGTCTTCACAGGTGATTCTGTCAGGGGCTACATGGTTGGGCCCCAGGGCCCACCTGGACCACCTGGGCCTCCAGGAGCTGGTCCGCTGTCAATTGATGAGGTGGCCACTCAGGTTATTGCCTACGTACAGAGTGAGTACTGGGGGAGACCTGGGATTAGTGAAATGTGGAGCAGCATGCATTATTTGCTGAAGAGAGGTTCCCTCAAATAGTCTCTTTGATTACCTCTAAGATTATGGTTACATGAATATTATGTTACAACTCTGATCTAAATTACAAAGCTATGGGTCTTTGTCAGAAAGCCTCTAGCAAACATAAACCTGACATCAGAAGCCATCCATCAAAATGTGATCAGTTCTGGCTTAAACCAGCGCTAAATCACTTCACTACTTCATAAAACACTTGTGTCATAATCTTACAGTATACTTTATAGAAAAGGAAATATACACTTCTTAAGATTGAACTGTGAGTGATGAATCACAGGAGGAAACAATCTGAATAAACACAGAGAATGGTAATTTAACAGCTTTTGCTTATATTAAATATATATATGATATATACAGGGTATAATGATATTAATATATATCATGATTGTTGAAAATGTTCTGAAATTGAAATAATAGCACAATCTGCCATATTTAAGAACAATCCTCATGTATCTACAGACCTTGCAGATTGCTTGCATGAGGACATTGGGTTGTGGGACCCTGTGCATCTGTTCTAATGTTGTTTATTACTGTGTTCCTCTTTCAGATGCTGGTGGCCTGCCAGGGCCTTCAGGGTCTGTTTCTGTCAATGATATTCTGGCTGTGCTACAGAGTGAGTAGCCATTAAAAAGCATGCTGCATTAGCAGGAACTGAAAAAGTGCATTCTTATTATATTTTGTCGTAATGCACATCAGGAAATTGCAAAGTCTGTGCAACTCTTTGTGTAATAGACTGTCTATTGTACTTTTAAGGAGTCTAATTGCTAACTGGAGATTAGGTTTGCCGATGACACGACAGTGGTGGGCCTCATTAACAATAATGATGAGTCACCATACATAGAGGAGGTGGAGCAAGGAGTGGACTGGTGTACAAACAAAAGGCTATCTCTTAATGTAAATAAAACAAAAGAGATAATCATTGACTTCAGGAGGGCCCATGCTGATCACTCCCCGCTGTACATCAACGGCTCCCCTGTGGAGACAGTTAGAAGCACCAAGTTTCTTGGTGTACACATTACAGATGACCTCACTTGGTCCCTCAATACCACCTCCCTAGCCAAGAATGCACAGCAGCGTCTATATTTCCTGCGGCGACTGAGAAGGGCAAACCTTCCTCCGCCCATTCTTACCACTTTCTACAGACGCACCTTGGAGAGCACCTTGACCAGGTGGATCACTGTTTGGTTTGGGAATTGCAACGTTGCAGACCGCAAGACCCTGCAACGAATTGTGGAAACAGCTGAAAACATCATTGGATTCCATTTCTGTCACCTATCACAAACACTGCTTACACAGGGCCTCTAGTATAGTAGATGATCCCTCCCATAAACCCTTTGCCCTCCTACCATTAGTTTTAGTAACATGCCCCTTAACTGATGTGAGGACAACAGGGACAGGCAAAATGACAAGCTGTGTTCTGAACTGATTACCCAGAAAGCCGTGGGTAATATCCGCCCTCTTTTTGTCACTCAACCAGTTGATGGAAGGCATTTGGCCAGGTGATGATTTAAAAACCAGGAAGCTGAGGCTTCCAGAGAGACAGGAAGAGTCTTCTGAGAGAAGAGAACCCTGTGTGGGATTGTGAGTTTAATGGGATGTGAGCCCCAGTCTGGGAAGTTGAAGGAGCTTGTGAGGAACTGGAAAGTCTGTGTGACATGTTCAGTTTTAGAGTTTGTGTTATAGTGAAGGAATCGGAAGATGTTAAGTGCGAAACTTAAAGAAGAGCTAGGCTTTTGTTTTGCTTAGGTTTTAGTTCACTGTCCTGTAAATAAACAGCACTTGTTTTGTACATTAGAGCTGCATTTGTGTCTATTTTCCTGGATCTGCCTATAAAAAAGATATTTTGCTATGATGCCTGGCCCCCTGGGGAAGTTAGACTACAGTAGAGACAGCATATAATCCCACCCTGCTGTTACTTTAAAAAGAACACAGTGACAATGAACATGGAAGCAATGTGATTCCGCTGTGCTTGTGTCCAGGGGAGGATGTGCGGCAGTACCTGATGGGTCCCCCAGGCCCTCCTGGACCTTCAGGCTCTGGGGACCCCGGCTCTTACAACCTGCAGGAGCTGGCCTCTCGGGTCGTCAGCATCATGTCCGGTAGGGGCAACACTTACACACATAGCTAGTCCAGTGGTGGTGTGGTGGCTCTGTGGACAAGGATCTGTGCCTGTGGCTGGAAGGTTGCCGGTTCAAATCCCGCAGCCGGCCCAGGAATCCTCCAACGTTGAGTCCCTGAGCAAGGCCCTTAACCCCAACTGCTCCAGCGGTGCCATATAAATGACTGACCCTGTGCTCTGACCCCAAGCTTCTCTCTCCCTTTCTGTGTGCCCGTGTGTCTGATGGAGTGCAAGCTGGGGTATGCCAAAAGACAAATTCCTAATGCAAGAAATTGTATATGGCCAATAAAGTGATCTGATCTTAGTCCTGAAGTCTCCAACATTCAGAGCTCCCACACCGCAACACTCCCACAACAGCCCCATTTTCGACTACTACTCTACTGCTGTAGAGAGGGGAAAACTAGGACTTACATCATCTTCATTCTCAAGGAGGAAACAGCATGGATCTAAAATTCATTGTACCACTACATTAAGAATGAAAACTAGAGTTCTGTCATAATGTTTGTCTGCTGTATATGGATGTACAGGATGTACCTTGTGGAGGCAATTGCTAGTAATGTAATTAGAAAAAAGGTTTGTTATATAAACTCTGAGTTCTTTTATGTTGAAATGGGAGAATTATGTTTATATTAATATATTTATATTGATTCATTTATAGTTTGAATGTAAAGAGGTTCTGCAGAGCATATACCTTTGAAGTTGAAAATTCACTTTGAATTTCATTTTAATCTTAGGGTGCCAAATAAATTCCTGATGGCAACAGGGCTTTTCAATGCTTTATTGAGATGAAGCCTTCGCTAACTTCAAATTATTTGAGAGTGTCCCTAAATGACGGAGCTTTGCTGAATCAATGTCTGTTTAAACACTGTGCTCTTGGCTGTCGGCTGATGCCAATTTCCCCTTTTCACAGAGATGGGAGTGAGAATAGGTCTGCCGGGTCCCCCTGGGCCTCCTGGACCCCCAGGACTGCCAGGATCGACATATGGAGACATATCAGCCATACTGCAAAGTAAGACACGAGAGCTGTGCCTTCTGTCCCACCCAAGACACGGTTTGGAAATACCATCTTAAACTGCTCACTTTCCCTAGTTCCAGTAATGGTCAGCTCCATTTTTTAAGGCCTTTTTATTCGTATTTGATAAAGACATGATCTGATGATTGATATATTCTGATCTTATTATTCGATCTGACATCCTACCCAAATAATCATTCTAGCTAAGTAATGAAGATAAAAGAGAATGAAAACCACAGGAAAAAATGATAAAATCTTGCTTTCACTGGCCAGCTTCAATGTGGTATTATAGACAGCAGATATCAGGTGTGATTTAACCTGTTAGATTTGCATTCTGGAGTTATGAGGTAAGATGGTCTGGATCTTCCAAACAAGATTAAACAGAATTTGTCGTCATGGTTCTCATTCACACAGGCTATTCTGATACCAACATAAAATTTTAAAATGTGATATTCCTTGAGGATTTTGGAACATACCAGATTTTATGATACAATGGCAAATTAAATGTATACTGGTGAGATTGAAGAATTAACATGGGACTTGATTCTTCTTCATTTCCATTCTTTTATGGTTGCTGGTATTGTCTGTATTAATGAGAAGTCATTTTGAAAGATCCTGAGGACACCTGTAGCAGGTTTAATCTAAGCGTAACTGTTGTTATTCATCACTTCCCAGGTTAAAATTAAGTTGTGATGATTAATGTTAAGTTATGTAGCTATGTTATACTTGCATTTTTATCTCTTTGAAACGTTATTGTATTTGATGCTGAATCAAGGAGGAAGGTTCAAGGTTCATCTAGAATTCTTGAAACCAATGTTGTCAAAAATACTACAATGGAAATCAAAGCCTTGGTTTGTCAGTCTGTTCTTTCTTGTTCCAGAAAAACAGCCCAAGCTTGTTTTTCCTTCTCTTTTATGTTGTCTAACTAAACATGGCTTCCTCATGTCTTAACAATTTCACTGCTATGGCACGTCCGTCCTGTCATTTGCTAAGCTTCTGACAACTTTAAATCTTAAATCCATCTTAAGCACCTTTTTGTACGCACCTCATCCATAGTCTTTTGTAGCAGCTGATAAATATTGTATTAGAGATGTGCAAAAAATATCTATCTTCCCAATTCCCTAATTGGGCACATTCAAGGACAGTAAACCCTGAAGAAAAATGTATTTGTATTCTCTTAGCACAACTGGGTTGAGTCCACAAAATCTCACATAAAATCAGGCATTACCTTCCTTTTTACGTGTTTGCACAACTCTAATGCTCGGTACAATTTCTGCTCAGAAGTTCAGTCGTATTTGCCCTTGAATTCTGATCCTCCCCAACCGTCCTATAATCCGGGCAAGACGCACAGACATTCTCCCTTCTTGCAGCTTCCCTACACCTTCAGTTTCCTGCTGGCTTCATCTCATGTGCATCCTGGTTGTAAAAAACGCTCTCCCAAACCCGGCTGAAGATGGGACGCTCTGTTTTGGCGACCATCCCACAGTTAACGAGTGGTTATCAGAATGGCTGCTCAAGCTTTGAAGGAAATTCTTTAATTTCAAGGTTTTGCTGAATAAAAATCATTCCAGGGAAGCAAAACTTAAGAAGAAGAAATACCAGACTGTTCAGCTGCCCTAAGATGTTCCCAGATTACATTTCATCCTAAAATCAAATTCGGTTTTCTCTGAGGCCAAATATACAGTACATTTTCTAATTTGACAATGAAGTCTTGTCTACAGGGAAAATAAGGACTAAGCACTGAGGCTAAGCATGTTTCACTTGTCCTAAATCAGGGTAATTAAAAACACTTAAGAGTTCATTTATAATCTCTTAATGCTAAGGACATGCCCTTCAAGTATGGACGTTGAGGTCAATTTCTGATAGAAAACAATGCAATGATACCCTAGGCACAGTGCACAGAGGTGCTGTGTAAATACCAGAACTCTTGCATGGTGGTATTTACACCGAAAGTGTGTTCTCTCTCTTGCGTTCTTCTTCTGAAGACTCCGAGTTTCGTGGGATTGTTGGGTCACCAGGGCCCCCTGGACCTCCTGGAAGACAGGGCCCTCAGGGGCCAGTTGGTCCCCCAGGACCAGCCACTTTTAGTGGCTCAGGCTACAGGCTGGAAGACATCAGAACCTACCTGCACAGTAAGCCTGGCTTAACACTACTTTGTTATATTGGACAGAGAAGCAAGCTTATTGGAATGATGGGGGTTATTCTGAGTGAAGTACAACACTGTTGGAAAATGTCCTGACTAGCTTTTGATTTCCTGTTTTTCTCTCTTCTTTGGAGGTCTCCTGCTTTGTTTGTACTCGTGTTTTTGTTGCGTTTTGTGTGGTGGTAGCATCATAACCCCTTGAATAAACACTACTAATAAAATACTTCCAAATGAAACTGAGTAACACTGCGACCACCCTTAAACCACATCTAACGCTACGTCATGGATAGCTGGCTTCTGTCACGATTACTGTAATTTACACAAAAACTTAGAAATGAAAATATAACCCTGTGACAAGTCATCAAAGCTGTTATGAATGCTACGTTGTGGAATTACATGACTGCAGAATATATTATTAAATGCCACAGGAAAGTACTTTGAAAAAGATGCTATGTAATGATTTGTGTCAGTTTTTGTAGCAGAAGCATAAAGATAAATATCTCAAAGAATGCATAAGGCTGTTAACCAATCAGATACTGCATTGATATTCCCTGTATAGTTAAATAAATAGATACACCGCATTCATATATAGCCATGAAAGTGGTTGCTTCACACTTTGAGCTCCTGGTGTCGCTGTCACATACTGCTGCTGACCTACACCTCTTTCGGCAGATGTTGGGTTCAGTGGCCCCCCTGGTCCTCCTGGTCCGCCTGGCCCTCAGGGACCTCCAGGAGTGTCTGGAGGATTGGTGTCGTATGCTGAGAACACGCAACGAGACCGCTTCCGCACAGAGCTCATCGAGTACCTCACCAGTGAGTGCAGACGTTCCACTTCTCTATTCCTTACAATACCCAACAGCAGGGGGCAGCAGCACTTCCAGCTCTCATAGAGGTGTTGATGTGCTGGAGCTCAACACTCTGTCCACACCAACAGTATTCTGGCGAGAAGATGAACATTGTGCTTAATTTTAAGGTCGAGTGGTAGAGTTAGAATTAGAATCGAAGTTGTGCACAGTGATGCACAGTGCAGTTGTAAGTGAGCACATAACAACCATACATTCACTGTATAACAGACGATTGGAAGAGCAGAAATCCAGTTGGTGAAGGTGGAAAAAAAGTACTTGGATGAATCTGTAATGCCTCTTTCAAATACTGCTCTGTGACCCTCCTAAAAGAAAAAAAAAGGATTCTCTCTATAACAATGGATGAGAAAGGTAAAATATGGAACTTGGAGTGTATTGATCAAATTCTGTAGAACCAAGGTTCATTCAATATTTTTAATTCAACATAATAATAATAATAATAATAATTGCTTACACTTATATAGCGCTTTCCTGGACACCCCACTCAAAGCGCTTTACAGGTAATGGGGACTCCCCTCCACCACCATCAATGTGCAGCATCAACCTGGATGATGCGACGGCAGCCATAGTGCGCCAGAACACTCACCACACATCAGCTATCAGTGGGGAGGAGAGCAGAGTAATGAAGCCAATTCATAGATGGGGATTATTAGGAGGCCATGATTGGTAAGGGCCAGTGGGAAATTTGGCCAGGACGCCGGGGTTACACCCCTACTCTTTTCGAGAAATGCCCTGGGATTTTTAATGACCATGAGTCAGGACCTCGGTTTTATGTCTCTAAACAAGGACGGTGCTTGTTTACAGTATAGTGTCCCCGTCACTATACTGGGGCATTAGGACCCACATGGACCACAGGGTGGCCCTGCTGGCCCCATTATATACGGATTGCGTGAATTATATATAAAATAGTACAGTATAGAACATGGAATTGAGTTGCAGGCAGAGTCTTAACAAACGTGTTCTGGACAGGTGACAGTGTGCGGAGTTACATCTCGGGACCCCCAGGACCCCCCGGCCCACGTGGATTCAAAGGAGAGCGTGGTGACCCCGGCTACAGTGTGGGTGTGGACAGCCAGTGGTCTGGAACGCTAGACTACTCCACTGTGGCAGTGAAAGTGTCTGACTACATAAAGTGTGAGTATTCTTACCAAGACTAACATATCTTAAGATTGGTAAATTCCAGCAAATCTAAATCACAGTATAGACTTATAGACAGCGTAATATAGACTTTTGTGAGATTTCTAATGGCCGATAACTCATTTTGTTAGGTTTGCTAAACTAGGTATAGCTTTTTATTATCTGCAATGAAAATATAAGACAAAAGCACAAAGTGAAGAGAATTAATGTTTAGGATTTTAATTCCTCAAACGAGACTGAACAGTGACGGCTCTCGTACTGTTTATCAGAGCTTTCCTCCGATACCTTTGAGGAGAAAACTCTTTCAACCCTGAAACCTAAAGACGGTACTTCTCTTTCATTTGTGTCCTCGGGTTCTGCATTCCTTGCGGGAACTGAGTGGCCTTCTTGTTTGTAATCGGCGATAGCTGCATTAAATGGCACACTGTTGACTCGGGTCGTTCTTTGGAATTACATCCTCCATTTTAAAAATATAAACAGTCACTTTGTACTTTAAAGCTGTCAGGTATCCATTCATTTTGAGCTACATCATAGAATCGAGTAATGTTAGCGATTTCTCAGTTGTTGTTGCAGCATGAGGTGGGTTCTGGTAAGAACTACAGCTTAACTGCATGTCCTCTTTCAGCCCAGGGCCTGCTGAAGGACATCTCCCACACCACGAGTGAGCACGTGATTGAGCGTGTGAGTTATCCAGGGCCCCCTGGACCTCCCGGTCCGCCTGGGCTCCCAGGATACAGCCGGGTCATTGGAGCTCATGGCAATGTCACCGCGGACCTGATGAGCTTCTTCAGAGGTGGGACTGCTGGAGAAACTTCATTGCGAGGAATTGTGATATGCTATTCATTTTCGCTGTTTACATTTTTTCTATTTTTCCTGTACTTGAAACCTGTAATGCTGTTTAACTTGAAAGCAGACAGTCCAAATGTCAATGTAAGTTTGACAAAAATGTTTTTAGAAAGTCAGAGAGATTGAGAATGCATGTCATTTACAGAAGATGATAGATTAGAGCTATACAGTGGATTTCTCCACTGCTCATTTTTTTTTTTACTGGAGGAATTCAATAATATAACAGAAAGGCATTTTTCCCCTCTCTTTCACTGGTTAATAACTTTTAAATTATTTTAGTAATCATGATTAAAGCTAAGAAACCCTAGCCCACTCTATATTCTCATTCTAATTGATTCTTGGTGTTAAAATATAAACCATTAAAACAATACCATGATGGTTTCATCTTCTCCATTTCCCTGTTTGTGTGTGCTTGAATAGGATTATTTTAATGGGGGTTTTGTGAAGTCAGTTTAATTAAAAGGACTGTATTGGAAACTGTAAGAGTACCTTTTCATTAAAGGCCTTGACATACAGTAAATATATTTATTTTTTTTCAACTTCATTGCAGAATATGGAACTATTCCAGGCCCTCCGGGTAGGCCAGGTCAGAAAGGAGAGAGAGGCTACATTGGACCCAAAGGAGACCGAGGTACTGTACATTCCCCTTTGGATTTAGTACACATAAAATGAAACTGATATAAACATATACAAATAGATACCTGAAGAGATTTCAGTGATAATTTGCATGTGAACTGGCTTTAAATCTATGATGTAACATTACAGATACTTTCTACTTAACATAGTCCTGGTTAAAATTGTTAGCTACAGTAGTGTATGTATTGGAGAACATGCTAATTAACACTGCTAATCGTGCAGTGTTTGGTTAAAATGTGTCTCCATCATCTGCCAGTATGTAACTACTTCAGATATAAGCCAAGTGACGCTTCATCAAGCAACCATCAGTTTCGGTACTAACCTAGTTTTAAGGCATTTTGATGCAGGCTAGCATGCTGTAGACACTGGCATCCCTCTAAGTCGTTCTCCAATCAGTTTGAGAATTGAGAACCACTCAGAATAATGCCGACAAGATCAGGGATAGTGTAACCCTCACTGGAGAGTACTGTTTAATATTATAATATTAACTTATGCCCATACTAGACTGTTGAACATTTTTTAAAGATGATAGTGTAAATTTACAGTATATCTGTTTTCTGGCATGAAAACAATTCCTTGGAAGACAATTTGATCTACTTAATTGTGCTCTGAGTCTCATTTTTCAGAAACAAAACTTCTCCTTCCTTAACATTATAGATCTATTTCAACTGCTGGTAATTTTGATAATCTCCTGTTGCAGGTGAAATAGGCCCACAGGGACTGCCAGGAATCCCAGCTGCTCCGGGCCCCAAGGGAGAAAAGGGTGAAAAAGGTAGGACAGTGCTGAAAACAGTTTGAACATGAGACAAAGAACATTCTGGAAGACATCAAGCTCACCACTGCATTTTTCTTTTTTTTTGTAGGAGAGCGACTTGTCGTCAGTCGGAGAAAGAGAAGCGTAGGTGTTTAAGGAAAACTGCAAAATTCACTTTCTTTTAATTTATCTAAAGAAATTTAGCAGTACTTGAAAACTAACTCTTTGGGAACTGGGAATAACAGAGAGCAACAATCTTACTTGCTTTTCAGCGGGATCATACTTACTGTACATGCAATGCAAGTTTTTCCATTTAATATTTTAAATGCAGTTTTGGGGAGATTTTATAGTATTCAAGTGTTACTTTTTTTTAAAAACAAACCATTTTTTAATATTCAACTTGTTCTTGGCTTAATATTTCATTCTTATTAATTGTATACGCCTAGAAGGTAAAAACTAGTACCACATGTAACTGTCCTTAATACAACACCATTTCCTCCACCATTTCCTTACAGGTCTATACTTAACACAAAAACGTATAACATGAATTTGGTTAAGTGTCATATTATTTTTACAAGTTGTTTTACCACACTCTTTAGATCCAAGCAGTATTTGGCGATTGTACCTTAACGATTTAAATGTTTCCAGAACAAAATATTTTGGTTTTTGTGACTAATTTTGTACTTTGTGAAAACGGTCAGTTTACCTGCCCGCTGAAGTCAATAACTTTCAGTTTAATTTGAGAGGTTTGTTGTTAACTTTTTATTTGTAAAATCTTCTCTTCCCTAGATAACTAGGGTAGAATCTATATTCTTCTTACATTCCAATACTTTTTTATATTTGAGCATAAGCAATGTGTTTTTCTCAAAGGTTCTGCACTTTTTTTATTTTATGATGATTGTTTTTGATGTAAATGCCAAATTGTTAACTTGTTCTATTTGCCACAATATATAAATTGGTTTCTAAAACGTTTCAAACCTAAATCCTCATTTTAGGTTTTAAAAAGGTTTAAAAAAGTCTTGGTCAGTTTTACTCTTTGTACTGACACTGCCATGTTACACAAATTTCATAAAACTCATGTATGCAAGAAATAATGGAAATGTATTTTAATATGAAATTTTGAATAAACCTTTTTGTTTAATATATGGTTTATTCTAGTTTAAGTAAAAGATCAAGGAAGTCTTTTTATACTCATTTATTAAATTCTTACAAAACTTTGTAATTAAGGGTGTGTGGGTTGGTGGTGGAGGGATTATTCACATTCCTTTAAAACTTCCTTTGAAATGAACAAATATACTATTTAATGAGAAAAGAATAGCATATATAATCACGTGGTGCAGTTATATAAAAAATGCAATATTAAAATATACAGTAAACATTTTATTTACAACAAAATGTCAATCTACAGAAGCATATTTCTTCTATAAATCACCTGACCTTTAAAATGCAAAAGATCTACATAGTAAAATCATTGAATTTGAGACATTCAGATTATACATCATTGTAATGTTTACAGACTGGAACATAAGAAAATCACTTTTCAACAGAACATTTGACAGCTTGGAGGCACAACACCCATAAGCTCATCACCATGATCTAGTAACAGCAGACACCATCATAGCTCAGGGCAAGCAGATTTAGATGGTCCATCTAGCTGTTTGTAGGTGGCTGCGTTCACAAACCAGACTCAAACGGGACGTTTAGTATTACATGTTAAATTCAAGTAATTTAACAAGGTGTTTCAAGCTACATTTTAAATGCTTTACATGCACTATTAATATATTACCCACAATTCACGGGAAAATCCAGCAGCAAGGATTTTAGATTTAAGGAATAATGTGTCAAATTTAAATTCATTGCCTTTCTTTTCGAGGTGCGAAAAAGTTATTAAAGGTTTACCCTAAATACGGGGGGAAAAAACATTTTAAATGGAACAGATTATTAGGACATTTTAAGTACACCGATCCTATGGATCAAATTGACAAAGCCATGCAAACCTCTTTTGTGTCTTGCCTGAGTCCAGTAATTATTTTAAAGGACTATTAGGGCATGAAGAATGCATTTCTTAATCTGCAAAATGAAATAACCATAGCCCATCCAATAAAGCTTCATGAAAAGAACTAGTAAAATGTTTTATCTATTCATTGAACAAGATACATCTTGTGCTATCACCGTATTGAGAGGGACAAACAGCACAAGCAACTAAAGGCAGTTGAACACCGCCATTTTAAAAATCTAGTAACATAATCATCAAGAAACAATTTAACTTCAGATTTAAGATCAGATCACATGGTTTTCAATGATGATGAGTTATCAAGTGATAAAGGGAAGATAGTCTCCACAAATGTTTACAAAATCAAAATTGTCAAAATAAAGACCAAAATAACAAATGTGGAAGGACAGAAGCATAAATGATAGCATATCACTTTACACTTGATACAGTGTTGTCTATATATGTTCAGTCTTGTAAAGTTAAGGCTAAAAGCTAGTAACATCTTAACTGCAAAATTGTAAAGTCATTTATATTTAAATAGATACAAAATAAAACATGCAGTGCCCCTCCAAAGTTTAATCACATTTGGTATTTTATTTTCCTGCAAAAGGTTTCCTTAAGTATTTCTTTTTTAAAAAATTGAATTGAGAAGCAAAATTTCAGAAAAGGTACCAATGAACTCTGGGGAAGCAAGTCCTTATTAGAGCAGGCCACAAGCTTGACTTTCTTGTACAAAACTGTTTCATACTGCATATTCATAGCAGACACTGAACACTAGCATGATATGACTAAAAGATTACATTCTTTACATTAGAAAGAAATTCCCCTTGGGTTGTGTGCCATATCTCTAAAATAAACTAGTTTGTCTCCTCACCTTAATTTGTGCCATAAATAAAAGATTCTCATCTTGTGCATTACAGCAAAGTAACTAACTTCTAATTCAAACAGTTATTTTGTTTTAAATTATAAGTAAAAGGCTTTTTGTTTTCTACACGTCCATGGGAAAAAAAAAAGGGTTCACCTTCACCAGTGTGAAAGAAAACTGCCACAGTAGTATATACAAAGAAACAAGTGTTTTAAAAATTAAGCAAAGACATGCATCTATACGGTGAAACAGAACAGTCATTTTGAATAATATTCAAACAGGCAAACAGTATAAACCAGTACTGCTTTGTTTCTCATTCAATATCTTTTGATAGAATTTAATGTATCATTACCAAATGAACACATGAGAAACAAAGTATATAAAATAAATTTCAAGATTCGTCTTAGAAATGTGCACTTTATACCTTACCAAAAGTACATTCTTTCTTAAATGTAATTACAAGTATTAGGCCTGCGACAGTACAGAACTAATTCAAGCACCACCTGATCTATTATATATGTATTTTTAGGCTGTATATAACCGTTTATACAATTTCCCAGCTACTTTTAGTGCAAATAACATCAGGGAAATATAAGCAGCAAATATATATTTTTTAAATAATCTTGTATAAAAAGCCAGCTCAAGGGAACAAATTATTTTAGGCACTGATTTTTTATGAGGAACCAAAAAAATCTAATTTGTTGTTAATCACAATGATCAAAACAGTAAACTGCCTGAGCTGTTTTGGAAGGATTAAGTTAAATACTTAAAGTTCAAATAGTGCCAATACGCTGCTGCATTTCAAACTTTTTTCAATTGCTGCCTCAAAACCCATAGAAAAAAAACCCTTCATAACCCATTTCACTTGGATTTATTTTAAATATATTCCACATGGTAAAAGACCATTTTAAAACCAAACTGCAGCCATTTTATACTTCACTGTCGACATGTTGTGGAAAACAGACCGCAGTTTGTAGCCTTTTCTTATTCCAGCAAAAAAGAGGACAAGATAGTGACTTCAAGTGTCTTCAGACTGCACTTCAGATATTTATGCTGATTGTCATCACTGGAGAAGATGAAAGGCAGAAAAGTTTCCATGATGCAACCAGCACCTTCCAGTTTGTGTTCAGGAGTCTGTGTGTGGTTCAGAACATGACGTGGATTAGAATCCTGTGGAATGGACGCTTGGTATAGGGTAGAACTTGGAAATTCGACTCTGTGCCGAAGGGTTAAGGCATTCTGACTCACCACTCATTTTGAAAAACACCTCTTGTTCCTGCAGCTTTCTAGAAAACTCTTCTTCTAGGGCCTGTTGGGATTCACCACACCAGAAAAGGACGGTCAGTTGTGAAGAGCTATTTACACGTTTTAATTGTAAAAATTGACCTTACTAAACTACATAACGCATGCACAAAAATATACTTATAGGAATACATATTAAAATGACGTATCAACCTGATTTTGTTGAAAAAAAGGTCTGAAACGCCCACCCATATATACCACTTAGTGTATACACTGAGGACTGATTTACTTAAAAACAGTTTAAAATTCTAAGTAAATAGCACATGGAATTGTTTTTCTAATAATTCTAAATTTGTATCTCGTTAAAAGGAAAGGAATAGCCAAATAAATCACATTTTAAACACACAAATTAAGATTACAATCCTGAAATGTTATTCAATTCCTAACTATCAAAATTTCTTGTCTTCCGAAATCACTATACTTACAACTCAATGTGAAATATATTTCAAAGACTAATCATTGGAATGCCTACTACTGAATATCAGATATTATAATATGAATTTTAACACAAATCTTGTAAAGCACTTCAATAAAGCTGCAGCTACTTTTAGTGCAAATAACAGAAACATCAATGCGAAAGTGCTTTAAAAAAGGCGGTTTACCTTCTTCCTGGGACGCAGTTTCTCTCTCCAGTCCTTCAGCTCTTGACTGTGCTCCTCATCGAGCTCCTTCAGCTTTTGGGTTTCGTGCTCAATCAGGAGGTGGCACTTCTCATTCTGATACAAACCAAAGGTAGCCCATTAGTACAAGCTGGAGAGAAGGCCATCAAAGCCACTATTCTCACACCATTCACAAAGCGTTTTTGAGAATAATTTCAGGGCAAGTCCCCAAAATCAAGTTTATAAAGCATTAATTGTATTCTTTACTCTGCAGAGCTCTGTTACACATGTATCCAAAGTATGGGTATTAGATGATAACTGTCCTGGTAAATATACTACTTTACTATTAGAATCTTAGTACAACATACAGTACTGGCAATTAATTGGCTGTTTACTCACCTCAGATTCACTAATAACTCATTTTTGGAGAAGGGAAAAGTAACTAAACCTCAACTGTGCACCAATATGATTTTGCACCTGTAAGTCTTATACCACTAGCCTAGGTCTAACAGAATCCCCCTGCTGCTAACATTAATTGCTACAGCATAGCGAGACTGCCAGCTAGTGGCTGTTTGCTGTACAGCAGTATACATTTTAAATCAGTACAGTTTTGAGGATTCTGAACTCTAAAAATGTCCCTTCATGAATGTCTTTGCCACATCTGTTAAGCGGATACACAGGTATGCACCCTACCTGAAGCTGTTGCAGTTCCCGAATGTTGGCATCACACTGCAGCTGGAGATCCCTCATTTGGTTCTCATGCTTCTGGTGCTGATGAAGTCTCTCGTTTTTCTGCCTTTTCTCCTCTTGAACAGCGAACTGTTCATATAAAACAAAAAGACAACATAAAATAAGCAGATGGATTTCTTTTTACCTTGAGACTTAAGGCATCAGAAAAGGTAGTTTGTGTTTAGACCTGTGATGAAAAAGTCAAAGGAGAGATTCGATTTGACTTTTTGTATTATGTATTATTATTCAGTGTAGAGACAGGTTAGGCTTGAGGCTTGTTACTAGAAGACTAAAGACTTTAATCCCATTTACAACAAGTCAGATTTACATGGGGGGGGGTTGTTTCTAGTTCAGTCAGTACTAAGAAACTTTAGCAAAAATAAACCAAACGAACTTGATGTGCTAAAAGTCCTGAGAGGAAGCCATTTTGAATTTCTGGTAATACCACACCATGTTTTCAGGAGACTCAAACTTAAATCCTCCCAATGTAATGCAGCAAGTTGTTCTGGATCTGGTTTATAGACATTCTTTGGCTCAAAGCTGCAAAACTGAAGCTTTGGCATGAAGAAAGTAGTCAGAAACTCCATGTGAGGCAAGCCAAGAGCAGCTCAAAGGGATATGAGGGGGAGAGGGCAGGGAAGTTTCAAGTGGGCAGTTCTGTTGTCTGTACACGTATAGAAACTTGCATAAATTAATCCTGCTGACACTATGCACTTCCTAATAGAGAAAGAAAAAGGGCTGTACTTCCTCAAATCACTTTACCTGCTTGACCTTCTCCCTGTCTTGCTCTGGAGTCCCAGATGACGTGATCCTAAGGCTTTTTTTGAACATGGCCATCCGGGTCTTGGCTTCACTACGCTGAATTTTGGGGAGCCTGCCTCTTTCCTGTGCCTGTCTTGTCTTCAGATCTTCAATCAGTCTCTGATTATATCTCTGCATCTGCTCCATTTCCTGAAAACACACAGATCTTGCTTTAATCCCACTGCACCTGCAGGAGTTCTCAAATGAAACTGTCACTTCCTAGGAAGAAAAATGCGAACATACTTCATGGAAAAAAAACCTGCAACACGCTACAAAGGATATTTTTTTGAGCAGAACAGTTTGTGGGTGCAGTCTTAATTTCTTACTTTCTCGTGTCTCTTCAGGAGTTGGTGTCTCTGCATGAAATACTGGTCTTTTAGCTGTTGCTTCAGAAGCTGGTGTTTCTCTTGCAGGTGTCGTTCCTCCAGCTCCCAGATAGCAGCTTCCCGAGCTACAGTATAGGACATTAAACACAGTTCAGTGCTAAAATGGTATCCCGATCTGCGGAAAGCCTTTAAATTCTAGTATTTTTGCAGTGTTTTAACTACGGGATACCAATACATTTATCACAACTTTTATTCAAATTTGTGACGAATTTGGATGTACCTCAAGAGAAAAAAAGACTCAGCATGTAATAAAGTTGAACTGCCTATTTGTGACAACTTTGTGTAAATTTTAGCAATATTTTATTAAGAAAAATCATTTGTTTTCTATTGCCTTTAAATGGCATCTTAAAATCCATTTAAACTTCCATTTGTAATCACAGTAACTTTTCATCTGCTGCTGTTACCCACTCACATTTCTGAAACAAAGTGAAGTTTCACAATTAAATTAAGATTAGAGTAACTACATGAAACACGCAAAACCACAGGAAATGTGTTTTTCTCCGATTAGCCAGGCTTGCCTCTCATAAGCTGCTGCTTGCTGTTCAAACAGTCCCGCTCAATAGTAGCAATCTCATGCTTGTGCTGCTGAATAATTTTCTTCAGGGCACTGTCAAGGTCCTGCTGCTGCTTCTGCAGGAACTCCTGCTCCTATAGGAATCCAAGCACAGAAAGGGCTCTGTAAATCTCCCATTCCACACATCACAAAGGGACGAGGACAGCCAGAGCCGCAAACAGAGAACCATGCAACATTAAACGCAAGCACTTGGAAAAAAACAACAGTTGCAAACTGGAGAAAATATCAGTCTAGCTAGAAGAGCCAGCTTTTTAAAGGCATCTGACACATTTAATAATAAAGACGAAAGACCAAACACTATATGGATGTAGATCGAGAAGAACTGAATTCAACATGTAAAATACATAAAACAGTCTTTGTGGGAAAACAAGAACATTGTTCCTCTTTAGGAAGAAATCTTTATTTCTAACCTTTCGTAACCACCACTGCTGAATTAAACAAAAGCAATGGTTTATCATCGACAGTGAATCTGGTGGCTTAAATTAGATTGACTCCTAACTGATTTTTTTCCTAGCATTTAAACCTTTTGCTCTGAAACTCCATTTGAATGATGTGTTAAAATCAATCAACAACTTTCAATAAGAGTAAACAACTGAGTGACTTAACCCATAAAGACTCTTGCTCAGAGTGCAGATTAATCATGGTTTGGGCTCCATCCTGGGTTTTGTCACTAGTAGACTGACCAGAGTTGAGTGGGCTTCAGACAGCTATGGTGTCCTTGGTTTTCATAATCAACAGCAGTTATTGGGATCAAATGGGCACTTGTAAGTTTGCCATGACGTCATAGAGCGACATGCCACTTCTCCCATCGGTCCTACTGTGAAGCTCGCAGAATATAAAACGATGAATTTCTCTGACAGACAGGCTGGAGAAGTGTGTGCACAGGGTGAGGATTATGGGGTAGGATACAGCTTATGCGCAATGTACTAGTCAGACCTCATTTATAATATTATATACAACTCTGATCACCACAAAACAAAAATAAATTGCTTCTTCAGAATCAGTCCTGAAAAGAGCGACCAGGTACCTTCCTGAACTCAAAGGACTGTCTTACACTGACCAGCTAAAATATCTAAATTGAATCAGGTCTCTTGCAGTCATACCTGTTCAAGTACTGAAATCCTCAAAGACTTTAATGAAAAGTCACTCCCACAGACCCCTCAGACTCAACACAGAAATACAAAATCTGAGGATGTAAATGGCATCTAAGTGGAAGTGCATTTAAAATGAAAAATAGGAAGGGTGTGGAGTCTGGAACCAGCAACCCAGCCATTATATTGAAGCTGATTCCATTACTTCTTTCAAAAAAACGGATTTGATCTGGGTTAGATCAATTAGCTGAACGACCAACTTCAAACGAGGTTCTAGAGATTAATGCATGTATTGATTAGGAGCTGACAGTTCAAAAAATAAAAATTCCTCAGTTTTATATATTCCGTCAAACATCTTCATTTTCACTACTATTTTTGTCCTGTTAATTAACAGGTGCTGCTGTTCAAAGAAAACTTGATTACATGCAAAGCTATTTTATAGCGCCCTGATTCATGATACTTTTTTTTTTAAACTGCACTTCATTTTGGTAAACAGTGAAACCAATGAACAAAGAACAGCCATTTAATAAGTGTACCATACAGGAGAAAAGCTTGAATAAAAAGACTAATGCACCAACAGAGTGACAGCAATCCAAAACAGACCCACAGAGATGCTCACATGTGCCACCTTTGTTTCAATTTGGTCTTCAATTTCAAACATGTAAACCACTCAAGACAACATCACTGAAGCAGAGGTCTTACTGATACAACAGATCTGTTGAACCAGCACTTAACTGCTGCCAGGCTTGAATCTTGTGGACAGTAGGTCATAGGTTCCAGACTACACAAGCAATTTAAAGTAAAGATAACAAAGTACTCACAAACTCCAAGCACCAATCTTCAAATATTGACTGATACAGACAAAAAAGGTAATGCACTGTATAAAGTTATAAGGGATTTTTTGTAAACACTACGTAGAATGACAAAACATTGGTTTTGTAAAAATATTATTACTATTATCACACCAACTCACAGACCAGCATTATGTCCATTATAATTTGATTATTATGGCATAATATATGTCTAGAGTATTTTCCTGGTCACAGATAACACACATAAAGGAGGAGTTTCCAGAAGTAAGAAAAACAGAATTTTGAGTGGAAAATTGCTGTCATTTCCTAGATCCAATGGAGTAATGGCTTCATGTTTTCCTTCAGGGGAATTAATACAATATTCAGTATGCTAAGGGATTTTTTAAATATATCCTCAATGCTGTATTTGATCTTAACAGCAATCTAAACTAGCACAATCCTACAAAAGTTACTCTGTGACTTTTTAGCTTTACTTTCGAGATAAACACAAATATATTTTGGTTCCAGTTCAGTACGTTAAGTTAAATCAAAATTGATTATCAGACATTATGATACAGTGGCTGTCAAAGTCTTTCTTTCACCAAAAGTAAAAGCTGTTGTTTTAATTGGGACAGTAGAAAAAAAAAGCTACACTTGAATTTTGGAGAAAAACCATGTAATAAACTCAATATTCCTCTTGCAACAGAAATATTGCAATTGTACTACGGCCAACAGAACTAAATATGTACAGTATATATCAATGTGTTAGAACAATATTTTATATTTAATTTGCTATATAAGTACTCAGAGTAGGTTAAAAAATGTACACTTTTTATAGTCCTTATTGCGAGTTTTACAAAACAAACAGATTTGCAAACTGTAGTGTTGGACATGATCATTTCAAGTCTGTTAAAACACTGTATTCGAAAGTAATCATTTTACTGCACCCATGAAAATAGGAAACAAAAAAGGGGGGAGGGGGGATTTCTCCTGGCAAACCTGCAGATCTGAACAGGAAAATTTTCCTTCTTTTTACTCCAAATGTGAACTTAGTGATGGATCCACAACAGCACATGTGAGCAACAAGAGAAAGGCTGAAGAGGGAAGGGAAACTTACATCCTGCATCTGAGCGTTGAAGAGTGTACATGAGGACAACTGAAAAGACTGTATCATAACCTGGGCGACACCCTGTGGATTAAAGCAGATTGCACTTCCCAGGTCAGCAAAAAGGCACAACAGCAGCAGACTTGCAAAATCCCCAACAACAGCACACAGGCACACTCACTGGACACTGCAAGGAGCTTCTGGGTGAAGAGTTTGAAAAATGGTCCTTAACAGAAAAGAGAGGAAAGCGGAGCACAGAAAGAAGATGGATGGAGCCCAAGCTCTGTCAGGTTCATTGTTAGATGCCAAACGCTTTTTCCTTGTACGTTGAAAATAAGGGCCTTCCTTTACCTCTGTCCATGCATTGTTCAGAACCCGGGTGTCGCAGCTGTATTTAGAAACTGGCAAGTGGATATGGGGGTAATGAATAACACCGTATCGAGAGTACTTGCGAAGATAGTCCTGTATAGGCTGTACAATTTCATTCTTATAAGCATATCACACATAGTTTCAACTTAGTTTTGTTAAAGTGCTTCACAAAAGTCCACCGTTCAGAAAAATATTGAAAAAAATAAAACGGGTTCATGTGCAGATTTGTGAGAGACCAGTAACTCGAACTCCTAAGCAGTGATATTCAAAGATGGTGTCTGATTTTACCTGTTCCTGCTGGATTTGTGCTAGGTCTTCTTTCAAGCGTTTCATGAGCTCTTTTCTCATGTGTTTGGGAGAATTTTCCACTTCGTATTTCACCTACAGTATAAGCATGCAGACGATGGGGAAAACAATGCTCTCTAATACTTTTCACAGCAAGCGCGCGCTCCGAAAATTGGCAGCCAAGCCTTTGAGTCAGAAAGCTAGAGGGCGTTTTGTTTAAAGCCAGTTTTCTTCTGTTAGTGTCACAAAAGCATGCAAAGTTAAAATGTCTGATTTTAAAAATCTTTTCTCGCCATTTGAAAAAAAAAAACATGCTCATTTAAAGGCTTATAGCACTTCCCGAAAAGATCTGCCAGGGAAAATAAAGCAACTGATTTTAATTGACCCAGTGCTGAAATAAAGAATAGTGATGTTTCCAGATGAGACAGAAAGGAGAAATGGAAAAATAAGTTAAAATGAAGCCCAGCACAGCTTGTCCCAAATCCACATCCTTATGAGATAGGTCAATCATATAATGAATCTGCATTATCTGATGCACACTTCAACTTGCACTGGTACCTACTAAAAGCTTTATGATGTAAAGTCCATATCAAAACTGACGTAAAAAACAATGAACAAAGCCACATTTTCTAACAGTTTTACTGTACAATTATCTATAATCATGCATCATCTTCCTTAATGCATGAAACACTGTATAAGGTTTACAAGAGTCTGCAAAAATCAGACTGCATCACACTGTGGATCATGAAATGGCAGGTAAGAGAGAAATACTTTAAACCTCATTTAAAGCAAGTATGGGATTACAGTGTGCATCAAGTAACACAAATTGCCTTTGGATAGCTAGAAAAATGAACTCAATGTGAAGACAGCGTTTATTTAATGTAAAAGGCTCTTCAAGTCAATGTTTGAACCAAAACCCACACCAGCACTTCAAAATGTATTCCACCACCAAAATCAAACTGCACACTTGCGCACACACAAAATATTAGTACAAATAAAACAAACAAATACCAGTACATTAGAAAACAAATACTTTAAGCAATTTTCAAGGACTAAACATATTGAAAAAATACATAGCAATAATAAGGCTTTGTCTAATTCTCTTAAAAACAGTTATTCTCTATTTTACTTAACCATAAAATGTCAGGATTCATTGCTTTTCTCAGTCAAGACCCAACATTTCATTATTGACCTTCATAACAGACAACAGAAATATTTTACTGAACTGCCAGTCCTGGCTTAAAATACGGACTAGATTTCGATTACCAAAATATTATCATATGTGGCAGACAAGCAGTATTTATTTTATAATGGAACAAGTAATAGGTTTATTCCATGCTGAAAAAAAGAAGAAAGAGAACACAACGGCCGTGGAGCCTTCTTCAGGTGTTCACTGAAGTTGTGTTCTCTTTCTTCTTTTTTTCAGCATGGAATAAACCTATTACTTGTTCCTTTGCAGCCTACGCATGCTGACGCAGCTACCCACCTTTATTTTATAATGGTGTTATGACACCTCAAATTATTTTCACTGTCTGTCAGGTAACAACTGATAATTGTAGATAAAAAATTAAGAAATATTTTTAAATAAAGGGCCCAGGAAGGAGACAAAGAAATTTTATTTGGAGACATGCGTCACTGCCTTCATCTCATATCATTTTTCTTATTTTCTAAAAACAAATGTAAGTTGGAAACCTCTAGCTCAACGTTAATGGGCTGCATGTGAAAATGATTTTCTCGGCATGTTGAATACTATTCAGAGCCCTTATTTCAGACATGAGATTATATATTTAATGCATTTATGGTCTCACTTTCATTTATAAGCTTTCTTACTGAACGAAAGATGTATCAATACATAACAGGTTTTAATGTATAAAATAAAAAATGTTATATGTTCCTTCGATGGATGCAAATCACCATCCAATAACTGAATAATAGCTTTTCCGTACTTATATTACTTAGCTAGCATAATTTAGCACAGCAAAATTAAACATGAACTAAGTATTCTGAAGTTGCAGCCGGTAAAGAAAAATGTTAAATATATTAGTTTAGATCCTTAGGTTTATTGTTCAATACTTTTTAATTTCAGAAGATATGCATTAAAATATCATGTTGTACAAACCTTCTTTTCCTGGGTTTTTTTTTTTTGGGGGGGGGGGAAACTACTGAAACAATTATGTTTAGATAAGACAAACAATGCCATTTTTATATTGCATGAAATGATAGTGCCTGCTGCCGATTTATTTTACTACTGCATGTAATCAGGTGTAGAAAACCTGTTGACAATGTGAAATACACGTTTTAACCAAAGATGAAAGCATTCTGACACTGAGATACAAATATTTTAAAACAATACTTATAATTCTGAAGGACTGGCAATTCAGTAAAAGTCATGCTCCCTTATGCAGACTATATGATAAGGAATTCAAACTATACTTTAAACATGTTGTAAAATAAAACAAATGAATACAAATTCTAAGGAAAATCAATAAAATCATGCACAATTTCATATATTAAACCTTTCATGCTTGAAACAGCAACTACAACTGAATGAAAAACATAGTATCAGTGTTGCCATATTCATATGAATGCAAGATACGAGCCATTCCAGAGCAGGGGAGTCAAGCGTGAAATGGATACAGCATGCTAAGAAGAATGACAAAACCCTCACTGGAGGAGGGATCCTGGAAATGCTGTAGCTATGCCTGTTGGCCTCAAAACTCTAATTAAATGGTCTAGATATTTTTTTCTGCATCAAACGGCTTAAGTAAAACTGCTTTCAAGTGTTTTCAACATGGATGGGTTGAACACAATTTTACAAAGCCATAATAATAAAAAAACATTGTGGCAATAGGTCGGTTTTACTGGCTAAATACCTACACTCTTTGCATTGCTTCAATGTGCCATTGCAATAAGAACTATATTAAAATAATTCAGTATATAAATGATTGCTATGGCAGATTTGAAGCAATTGATGTTGAAGTTGTTTCAAATTAATTTGGTTGAATACTATATTTTAATAGATTGGAAATGTTTAAGTGGAAAAAAAAAGGTATGTTCAATAAGTGTGACAAGACACTTTGTAACAGACATC